CAAGCACGCATGCTTCCGCCCTCTCCAGCCGTGCTGATTTTACGCTGCGCAGCTTGTTCATTCATTGGTTCATTCAAGTCTGTAAAACGAGTACCTTTTACCTGCCAGACTGCAAATATTAGTGGATTTCCTCAATTAGCACGAACCTAGTGAGAAAGACCCACCACATCCAGTGTAGGCGAGGACCAATTTATGTTTACAGGGTATACAACCTGACAGAGACACTTGAAAACCAGCAGTTTTCTAGTGAACCCCAATATATCCCAACCCTATGATCACACAATTCCACTACTCATTTGTCAGTACCTAACAAAAGCCGGGCATGGTGGCACACACTTGTAATCCCTGCATTGCGAAGGCTGAGGCAGGAAAATCGTTGTTAGAGACCAGCATGGGCTACAAAGTGAATTCAAAGGCAACCTGAGCTGCACGCTAGACCCTGTACCAAAAAGACAAAAAATAAAATAAAAAAAAAATTTTTTTTTAAATGTCTAACAGAGGGGCCAGGGAGATGGCTCAGTGGAATAAGCGCTTCCCTGGCAAGCACAAGGGCCTGAGTTCAATCCCCGGTTCTGCCAAAAAAAAAAAATGTCTAACAGAAATACATGAGCACCAAAAGTGCTCACTGCACAATTCACAATACTCCCAGAGTGGTAGGTAGAATGGAAAATGAATTATGACAATTTTATGCTTTCTAGATACAGCAACCAGGGGACATGTGGGTTAGCTCAGTTTCAGTGCCTGCTCTGGCAAACCCACTCAGGCCAAGGGACTGCAGTTTGATCCCCAGCTCCACCTGCCTTACCAGACCCGCCTTTATGGTAGCCCGAACCAGGCCACCGCCCCGCACCCCCCCAAAAAAAATCCTCAGTTTTGGGCCGGCCAAATAGCTCAGCGGAGTAAAGTGCCTGTTTAGGCAGATGTGGGGGCTGGGAGTTCAATCCCCTTGTCTCCCCTGCTGGCCCATTCCCCAGGGTATGCTGAGACTGTGATTGAGACTGGGTGTGGTGTTGCACGCCTGTAATCCCAGCACTTGGGATACTGTAAACAGGCGGATCACTACGAGTCTGATCTATGCAGTGAGACCCTGTACACCCTGTCCTAAAATACAAAAAATAAAATTTAAAACAATAGGGCCAGGAAGATAGCTCAGTAGAATAAGTGCTTGCCTGGCAAGTGAAGAGTCTTGAGTTCAATCCCTTGTACTGAAAAAAAAAAAAAAAAAAAAGCAAAAGAAAATGTACCTAATTTAAAAACTGATAAGACTAATCCCACTGGACAAGTGTTATGGACAAAATGAGGAAGAGAAGATAACTATTAGAGTACACAGTAGGGGGCTGGGGAGATGGCTTAGTAGAATAA